TCACAGGGGGTAATAAAATACAACATATATATGCTTTCTACAAGAGGCCTACCTCAGAACAAAAGATCTACACAGGCTGAAAATGGAGCAATAGAAAAAAAAATTCCAAGCAAAGAAACATAGAAAAAAAAAAAAGCCGGGATAGCAATATTTATATCAAACAAAATAGACTTCAAAACAAAGGCTGTAAAAAGAGAAGGTCACTATATAATACTTAAGGGAGTAATCCATCAAGAAGATATAACTCTTTTAAACATATATGCAACCAACATAGGAGCACCTAAATATATAAGGAAAATCTTAGAGGACTTCAAGAAAGATATTGACAACACAGTCATGATATAGGAGTTTAACACCCCACTGTCAAAAATGGATAGATCTTTCAAAGAATTAACAAGGATGCTGTGGCATTAAACGACACTCTACATCAAATGGACTTAATTGATATATACACAACCTTTCACCAAAAAGAAGCAAAATACACATTCTTTTCAAATGCACATGGAACATTTTCAAAGATAGACCACATGGTAGGACACAAAACAAACCTCAACAAATTCAGGAAAACTGAAATTATGTCAAACGTGTTCTGATTACAATGGCTTGAAACTAGAAACCAACCTCAAGGAAAAAACTCAACACATTCAAATACATGGAGACTGAATAACATGTTAATAAATAATGAATGGGTCAACAATGAGATCAAGGAAGAATAAAAAAGTATGGGGAAACAAATGAAAATGAACATGCAATAACCAAAAAGCTATGGGACATAGTGAAGGTAGTACTGAGAGGGAAGTTCATAACAATACAGACCCACCTAAAGAAGAAAGAAAAATCTCAAATAACCTAATCTTACATCTACAAGGACTAGAGGAACAACAACAAACAAAGCCCAGCGAGAGTAGAAGGAAGGAAATAATCAAGATCAGAGCAGAATTAAATGACATAAGAGACTACAAGAACAATTCAAATCATCCATAAAAACAGGAGCTGGTTCTTTGAAAATATAAACAAAACTGACAAATCTTTAACCAGATTCATCAAAAGAGAGAGGATCAAAACAAATAAAATCAGAAACAAAGAAGAAGTTACAACTGATACCACAGAAATACAAAAGATTGTAAGAAATTACTATGAACAACTACATGCCAAATTGGACAACATGGGAGAAATGGATAAATTGAGAAATGTACCATCTTCCAAAACTGAATCAATAAACAGAAAGCCTGACTAGACCGATAACAACTAGTGAAATTGAAGCAGTAATCAAAAAACTCCCGGCACCGAAAAGCCCTGTACCAGATGGCTTCACAGGTGAATTTAACCAAACATTAAAAGAAGAACTAACTTCTATCCTTCTCAATCTCTTCCAAAAAGTTCAAAAAGAGGGAAGACTCCCAAATTCTTTTTATGAGGCCAGTATCATCCTAATTCCAAAACCAGGTAAAGATACAACGAAGAACAAAAACTACAGGTCAATATCTCTGATGAATATAGATGCTACAATCCTCAACAAAATATTGGCAGTCTGGATCTAGCAATACATTAAAAAGATCATTCACCATGATCAAGGGGGATTCGTCCCAAGGATGCAAGGATGGTGCAATATTCACAAATCAATCAACGTAATATACCACAAAAACAAAATGAAAGACAAAAATCACATGGTCATATCAACAGATGCAGAGAAAGCATTTGATAAAATCCAGCACCCATTTATGATAAAAAACACTCAGTAAAGTGGGAATAGAGGGAGCATACCTCAATATAACAAAGGCCATATATGGGAAACCTATAGCCAACACTATGCTCAACAGTAAAAAACTAAAAGCTTTCCCCTTAACATGAGGAACAAGACAAGGGTGTCGGCTTTCACCACTCTTATTCAACACAGTGCTGGAAGTTCTAGCCACAGTGATTGGACAAGAAATAGAAATAAAAGACATTCAAATCGGAAAGGAGGAAGTAAAACTGCCATTATTTGCAGATGACATAATAGTGTACATAGAAAACCCTATTGTCTCCACCAAAAAACTAAACCTAATAAGTGAATTTGGCAAAATAGCGGATACACGGTCAATATTCAGAAATTAATGGCATTTTTCTACACCAACAATGAAATATCAGAAAGAGAAACTAGGGGGAAAAAAATCTCATTTACTATAGCAAAAAGAAAAATGAAGTACCTAGGTATAAAGTTAACCAAGGAGGTAAAAGACCTGTACTCAAAAAACTATAGACCACTGAAGATAGAAATAGAAGATACAAATAAATAGAAGAATATACCATGTTCATGGATTGGAAAAATTACATCATTAAAATGTCCATACAACCCAAAGCAATCTATAGATTCAATGCAATTCCTATTAAAATACCAATGGCATATTTCACAGATCTAGAGCAAATATTTTAAAAATTTATACAGAACCAAAAAAGACCCCAAACAGCCTCAGCAATCTTGAGAAAGAGGAACAGAGTAGGAGAGATCACAATATCTGTTATCACACTATACTATAAGGCCACTGTAATCAAAACAGTCTGGTAATGGCATAAGAACAGACACATACATCAATGGAACAGAATAGAGAGCCTAGAAATAAATCCATGTCTTAACAGTCAATTAGTATTTGACAAAGAAGGCATGAGCATATATATAATACAGTAAAAATAGCCTTTTCAATTAATGGTGTTGGGAGAACTGAACTGGTACATGCAAAAGAAACTAGACCACCAACTTACACCATACACCAGAATAAACACAAAATGGACAAAAGACTTAAATAAAAGTCGTGACACCATAAAAGTCCTGGAGGAAAACATAGGTAGTAAAATTTCAGATATCCCACAGAGCAATATTTTTGCTAATACATCTCCTAGGACAAGGGAAATAAAGGAAAAAATAAACAAATGGGACTACATCAAATTAAAAAGCTACTTGCACAACTAAAGAAAATAGCAATAAAAGGAAAAGGGAACTGATCATATGGGAGAACATGTTTACCAATGATATATCGGGCAAGGGTTTGATCTCCAAAATACATAAAGAACTCATACGACTCAACACAGGAAAACAAATAATCCAATTAAAAACTGGGCAAAGGATCTAAACAGACACTTCTCCATGGAGGGCATACAGATGGCCTATAGACATATGAAAAGATGCTCAACATCATTAACCATCAGAGAGATGCAAATTAAAACCACAATGAGATATCACCTCACACCTGTCAGAATGGCCATCATAAACAAATCAACAAACAAGTCCTGGCGAGGATGTGGAGAAAAGGGATCCCTAGTGCACTGTTGATGGGAATGCAGACTGGTGCAGCCACTATGGAAAACAGTATGGAATTTCCTCAAAAAACTAAAAATGGAGCTGCCTTTTGACACAGTGATTCTGCTGCTGGGAATATACCCTAAGAATCCCGAATCACCACTTCAAAAGAACTTATGCACCCCGATATTCATAGCAACTCTGTTTATAATAGCCAAGTTCTGGTAACAGCCTAAGTGCCCATCAGTAGAAGAGTGGATCAAAAAACTGTGGTACATTTACACAATAGAGTACTACAAGGCAGAAAGAAAGAAAGAAAGAAGGAAGTCCTACTTTTTGTGACAGCACAGATGGAACTGGAGAATATTATGCTAAGTGAAATAAGCCAGGCAGTGAAAGACAAATATCATATGATCTCACCTATAGGAGGAATCTACTGAACAAAATAAACTAATGAACAAAATAGAATCACAGGTATGGAAACATGGAACAGACTGACAGTGACCAGAGGGGAGGAGGGAGGGGATAATGGTGGAAAGAAGGGGAAGGGATTAGTTAAAAAACATGTATGAATGACACATGGACATGACATGGACATGAACAACAGTGTGGGAATTGACTGGCAGTAGGGGGTAGGATGGGCAGAGGAGGACAAGGGGGAAAAATTGGGACAACTGTAATAGAATAACAATAAAAAAATCTTTAAAAAAGATTTACATTTTAGTGTATGCTAATTACATCTAATTTTTAATAGAAAAGAACATACTGTGATGAACATCTTTATATTTAAGTCTTTTGCAAGTTAAGACTGTTTCCTGAGCATAAATTAATAGATTGAGATGACTGAATCAAAGGGTATGTACATGCTTTTTTTTCAAAGATTTCATTTATTTATTTTTAGAGAGAGGGGAAGGGAAAGAGATAGAGAGGGAGTGAAACATCAATGTATGGTTGCCTCTAGTACACTCCATACTGGGCCAGGCATGTGCCCTGACTGGGAATCAAACCAGTGGTGCTTTGGTTTGCAGGCCCACACTCAATCCACTGAGCTACACCAGCCAGAGCTGTACATATGTTTTTAAAACATTACTATTCATTCATTCATTAGTTCTTTCAAAAATATTTACTGAGTAAACAGTTTGGCCAAGACATTGCCAAATTGCCTTCTAGAGTAATTCTCTCACTAGCAGATTTCTTAATTCATGTCAATAGTGCATTTCATAATGTTAAATGATATCCTTCCTTTGACTCGATTTTAAAAATGTCTATTATTTCATCTTGTGCTTTTTAAAGAACATTGCTAATGATGAGAATAAGATTTCTTTCCATATGCTTATGGATCATCTGTATTTCTTTTACCTTCACCAGCTCTACTTTCCCTTCATGAGCTTGTTCCTTCCCCGCATTGGTATTTTTTTCCTACTGATTATGATTAGAAAAGCTTGTTTTTCAGCCATTTCAAATACCTTTTCAAAGCTTTTTATCTGTTTTTCAAAAATTCTACCCAGAAAAATTTTGAAAATAAGAACATTTAAATTTTATGCATAGTCGTCAAATTTGTCATTTTTCCTTTTTATGGTTTTGGTCTTTGGTATTACTTAAAACACACTTCCCAACCCAAGAAAAGATAAATATTCGGTGTGTACTCTCTGACGCCCACTTTCCATGATTGGTGCAGCTAATTCCGTTGCCTGGCACACTGCCATGTGCTAGAAGTTCCTACCTTGGTGAGCAGGCCTTTCACCGTCGGTTTGCCGTCTGGCTGCAGGAAAAGTGGGTTGGCAGCTTGTACTCGAAGAACGTTCTGTAACACTTTAATCCATTCCTCCAATATATTGGGAGAATCTGCAGTCAGATAGTATGTGTGTTTTTCAGTGGTCAACTAGAACGGGATGAAAAAGAGATAGGAAAGGGACCTCTAAAGATTTAGGATTATTAGCATTTCCTTGTCTGTTCTTCAAACATCGCTACTGCACATGGAAACAAATACGATAAACCTTGAATCCTAGGAGCTAAATAAATGACTTCATAAATAATTTAGTATATTATAACCACTTTGTAGGAATTCCAATTAACTTCTGGTTGAAAGAGATTTTTTTCACTTCAGTTTATTTTAGACTTTTCATAGTATTAAACTTTTGAGCCATAATTTATCTTGTTTATTTAAAATATTTTCCTTTTCCCCTTAAACGTGCTACAGGCTCTTGTTGCTGAAGTGAGGAGAGGAGAGGAATGATTGAAGACTGTGCTAAAATAACACATTTTTAACAAATCCAGGAGTTATTTGTTATAGAAATAAAGAAATCAATTATAAATAAGATCTTGCATATAAGAGAAATTTTTGAAACTAACATGTGATCAGACATTATAAGCTTGCACTTTTTCAGTTTCAAATTAACTGTATTTCAAATTTTCCAGATACTTAAGAAGCTTACAAATGATTATTATCTGCCATGTTCCAAGACAAAGCGTTCCCTGATTCTTCTTTCTACATTTTGGGCAGTTCTCAGGTATTATCCACTGGAAACGTTAATAATGTACCTTTCTGGTAAATGTTGAAGTCCACCCTCCCCAGGAGCAAGATAAGAAAATAATGATTATTAATGGCATTTGAGAAATAAAATGTCTGAATTTAAACCACATATGCCAAACTATCTCAACAGCCTACATTTTAAATTAAACAGGGTTCTGTCGAGACTGGCCTATCTGAGTGAGATGGTCAGCAGCTACCTCTGTGGGAATGAGTTCCACTCCTCTGCTCACCGACATCCTTCCCGTTTACACGCCAACAGCATCTGCAGTTCCTAAAGGAACTGCCCCTTTCCAGGTCTGTGTTAGAATGTGAACGCCCCTGAATTTAATATACATTAAACCACTAACATCTTCTTTTGAATTCATTAATCAGATAACCCTCCTCTAAAATAGCTGGACAGTCTGAGAGCTGAGAACAGCCTGGAGATTAAGTACAGGGGAAGAACGGTGTAAGTGATAAAGGGCAAATGAAGTGTGGTGGGGTGTTAACACAAGGTTAGCTTATACTACAGTTTTAACTAAGAACTCCTGGGGTTTCACAAATTTGAGTCATCGACCTCACCCAAAGTGAATTTTTAAAAAACAGTGAATTATCCAGTCTCTTCTCTATTAGTTTGAATAATGGAGAACTGAGTTTTGTATGATACGAGACAGAAAAAATAAAGTTTTTTAAAAAGTACCTGAACTGTTTGTTTGTTATCTCCTCTTAAAATACTGCAGGATGCACTAAGTTCAATATGGCCCTGGGGTTTTCTAATTACATCACTCTGTATGAAAGGAAGAAAACCAAACACACAGTGGTTACCTGTCACAGTCATAGTAAGAAATGCTTTGTATAATTAACAACATCACAGGGAAGAAAACCAATGAGGAGTCTGAATTCTAATTTGAGGAATTCAGTTCCAAAGAGCAAGCACTTTGGACTCACCGGAGATTTGTAGTAAAGTAATTCACCACCTTTAAGAACAAACCATCTCCGCTTCCAAGTCTTGACTTTACCACTCATTTTTAATAAATAGCCGGATTTTTCCAGTGGCTCCTAATTTAAAAAAGATTTTTAAAAGTATTTAAGTTTCTTTTGGAAGCTCCAACTAACAATTCATTAATTAAAAAAAAAACAACAACAAACAAAAAACCTGAGGCAGTGTTTACATTTTTCCCATTATCACTGGAGGCCGAGCAAGTTTTCGGGAGTTTCTGCTCCGGCTGCGAGTACTCTGTGTCCGTGGAGTAAGCATCTGGAGGAATAGCATAGTCGCTTTCAGAAGCCACAGAAGAGAGAGACACACCTAGGTGAATGAAGAAATAAAACGAGTCAATATTTCATAACTGGGTGGTCCAAATGCCAGCTGTGAGTTCTCTTAAGGATACAGCTATTCCTAAAGCACGAACCTTGCTATGCTAGATTTATTCTTATGCTTTTGGCCATGAAGATCTTTCAAAGCAGAAAACAGAACTAAAGGATAAGAACTAACACAGAAGTCTTTAAGGAACATAAGGGACATAAATAATATTTGGAATGATTATAAGCAAAGCTATTTTTTACACATATAAAATACATGCAATAGTCTACAAATGTATTTTCATTAAGGATTAAAAAATATGTGTATTTAGATTTTGATGTATAGGCAAACACGTGTTTAATTTATAGAGATTCAAAATCATACCTTAAACTACTTTTTCTTTCAAAGTAATTACTTTTAAAGTAATTCACATTTATAAAAAACCTACAGTCTCAGCAGTATTTTTTATGTAAGTCCAATACTACTAGTTTATAGATTTAAAAAGTCTTTCTTAGCCCTGGCTGATGTGGCTCAGTGCATTGAGTACTGGCTTGCAAACCAAAGCATCACCAGTTCAATTCCCAGTCAGGGCACAGACCTGGGTTGCAGGCCAGGTCCCCAATAGGGGACACACAAAATGCAACCACACATCGATGCTTCTCTCCCTCTCTTTTTCCCTCCCTTCCCCTCTCTCTGAAAATAAATAAATAAAATCTTTCAAAAAATCTTTTTAAAAAAGAAGCAATATGATTTGAAGATATAAGTAGACTATTTCATATGCCAGCAGCAATAAAATAAAATTCAAGGGAACATTTTCACAATTCACTTGCCCTTTTAGAAAAAGATATGCAAATTACAAGATACATTTGGAGGGTCACTACAATGAAGATTTTGAATATATTAAATAAAATCAGGGACCTAGGTCATCATTAATTACAGTATCTAGCAATTTTTAAAAGTATTAACATTTAAGGGACATTAGGACAATGTCACTAAACCACTACTATTATTTATTTAAGTAAGACAAGTCACTGTTGTGATAACAGTAATATCCTTATATGACATGGAATAACAGAAATTTAGATCTATAAAATACCTTAGAGATCTTAGTTAATTCCTTCATTCTCTAAGGAGACTAAGGTCCAGAAATGAAAGGGTCTGTCCAGGTGAAACAACAGGGCAGGGGCAATGTTGGAGAGCTAGTATCAGGCTGGCAGCTCTAGGGCCAGTATGTTAGGCACCAACTAGGTGGTAGGGGCAGAACAGACAAGAAAAGAGAACATTTTCTGTGCTCATGGAACATAGATTCTAGTCGGGGGAGACAGACAGCAAACAGGCAGTAACCCCTGTAGGAAAAAAATACGTAGAACAGACTAAAGGGAATTTTTAAAAATCCAGCAGTTGGAGAAGGGCAAAGGACTGCATCTGAATGGTGTGGTCAGCCTAGAGCTCGCTGAGAAGGCGGGGTTTGCACAAGCACTGAGAGTGGTGTGGGAGTTAGCCATACAGACATCTGGGTGAAGAATACCAAGCAGAGGAAACAACCAGGGCAAAGGTCTTGAAATAAAAGCACACCTGGAATGTTCTAGGAACAGCAGTGTGGCCAGAGCTGAGTGAAGGAACAGAAGAAAGGGGATGAGGAAGGACAGAAAAGAATCACGTAACACCTTATACCCACTATGAGTCCCACACCAGTGTCAGGAGCAACCGTGTGATGTCACCTGGTTCTAGCTGTCAGGGATCAAGGTACGAGCAGAGAGAGCAGTGGAAGCCCCAAATATTAAACCTGTGAAAGCTGAGAAACTCCGATTGAACCGAGGGGTTTGGGAGTACCTAGGAGCTCCACGGAACACAGTTTGAGAGCCAACAAACATATCATGGCAATTAAATGCTTTTATAAATATAGACGCCATTTAGGGTGATGGGATCTCTCTGTAACCTCTATCCAGGCCAAAAATTTCTTCAAAATCCACTAAAAATCATAAACATATCCAAAGTAAATTTTTTGTTAGTTTCCACTTTAATATCACATTAACCACCAAATTTTTAAATGTCTTTGTTGCCATTTGGCTGTATAGCAAATTTAGCTGAAATGCATCTATCTCATAAATTATCCAAAATGCCACACACTCTAACTATTAAAGAGAAATCTCACGTTGGCCTAGGATCTCACTTTATTCCCATGATAAAGTGATCTCTCTTTTACACAAAAGATGTGGTTAAACAAAAAAGGCAAAATGGCTTGTCTAGAAACATGAAGACAACTGAGAAATGTGTCTTAGTCCTAGGCTAATTCTTTTTTCACTGTGGTTTAAAACAAGTACTTTGACTTTTTAGAAAAATCCTATCATGGAGATAAAAGTCCCATTAAATGTTCTTAATTATTTGGAACTGTCTTGCATGCCCGAGACTTTCTCTCACCTCGTTTCATGGCTCTGGGGCTGCCCGGCCCACTCCGACTGCGCGTGTCTGACTCTGAAGTTCGGGAGCTGGACCTGGAGCTATCTTCTTCCTCTGACCCGGAGGAGTCATCCAGGAATGGGCTGCTGCTGATTTGGGTCGCCTTCTAAAGAAAGTCAGAACGAACTCTACGTACGCATCTCTAAGGTCCCCTTCTCTTTAGATATGGAATGTTTTATCAGAAGTAGTCATGGGATTAAATCGTTTTAAGGAATACAAGAATATATTTTGCCATTATCAAAGTCATGTTGTTAAGTCCCAAATTTTAATTAGCAAGGCATTTGTCAATTATAAAAGATTCCTGAAAGCATAAGGCCATGAATATTTGATGGCATTTATTTTAACTAGGTTCTTCAAGCAAGGGGCGGGGGGGAACCCTGGTAGTGATAGAAAGATCTTTCTAAATTAGGAGTTTTCATTACATCATTAATAACGTATTTTCTTTGGGGCGTCTAACCTTTTGGTGTCTCTGGGCCACACATTAAATACACAAACACTAACAAAAACTGATGAGCAAAAAAAAGGTTTTAAGCAAATTTATGATTTTGTGTTGGGCTGCATTCATAGCCACCCTGGGCCACAGTTTGGACACCCCTGCACAGAGGGGGTGAAGTATCACACAGGACATAATACATATGGACTCAGACCTCTAATAATGATAAGAATAAATATCTTCTCCAGATTTTCCATTTTTTATCATTTTATGCTATAGTACAGTGAACTTCTAAACCTCCCTGTAATGAGAGTCCGTATAACGTGACAAGAATGGAATCTGGAGCTTGAGTAAACAGTTTTCCTGATCCATTATGAAGAGAAGCACAGATTTAACAGTAACAATAATGAGTTACCCCCTTCAAAGTTGTATACACTGGGGTTGTCATATTCTTGTATATTAGAGATGTATAAAGTCCGGATGTGGTATAGGAAAGCATTGCAACAGAATCTGAAACAGAAAATAAAATGATTTAAAAAAGCAAAAAACTTTTAACCAGCCATTAGGCCATTTCTTATGAATGTGAATTAACACAATTTCCAATTAAAAGAGAAAACAGATCAACACACATGATTATTCATTATACAGTCTAGAAGAACTATGGCATTTGCAGGTTAAATTATACACTCTCTTACATGGTTCCTCATTTCTTTATGTGTACTAGTTCCCCAACTATTCTGTAAGCTCTTTGAGAGCAAGGATCATGGATTTTATTTCCATGGTATCTCCAACCAGCTCAGGCTGGGCAGAAATAAGTACAAACACCTGCTGGCTGGGTCAGTACCCTGTGATGATATTCTGATTAATCACAGCCCTGTTAGTGAATGGTGTTAAAACAGCATCATTCTTAAGCCTCATCAGATTAATCTCCTGTGGAAAAGTTAGAATATGATTTCCTAAATGGGAAGAACATAAGATAGTTGGAAAGAAATAGAACATCAGTGGTTACCTCTGAGATATGGATTAGTGGTAGGATAAGTAAAAGGAACTACAGGAAATTTCTCTTTATTAAAGACAGTTCTTTGTGATTTGGTTTTATTCTTTTATAACAGCATGTATTGCCTCTATAATAATTTTTCAATGAAAGAAAGGAAGAGAGAGGAAGGGAGGAAGGAAGGCAAAAAAAGAGAGAAATATATTTTAAACTCTGAAAACATAGCGACCAATATTTTTACTTTAAACAGCCAAAACTCCACAATTTATTTGCTTTATTTAGCCGTTTTTAGGTAAAAACATAATGAGGTACTCTCAACATAAGAGAGCTGAACATTTATGTGCCCCTATATGGGGTAACATGAATTTTAAAATATAAATCAGCAATCCTAGAAATAATTTTATGAAAGCTTAAATAATTCTATTATTTAGAAAGTTCTTGGCTAGTGAAACAGCAGTACAAAAATCACTTTTTAAAATGACACTTTTTATTGTAAAAAGCCACATAAGATAAAACTTGCCATCTTAACCATGTTAAGTGTACAGGTCAGTTCATGTTGAATTTATTCACATTGTTGTGAATCTTGTCCTGAGAACCTTGTATCTTGCAAATCTGAGGCTCTACATCCATTAAACAACTACTCCCCCTTTCTCCTCCCCCAACCCCCAGTAACCAGCATTCTGTTTTCTGTTCCTAGGACTCGACTACTTTAGATACCTCATATAAATGTCTTTTTGTGACTGCTTATTTCACTAGCGCAGTGTCCTCAAGGTTCATCCACGTGGTAGCATGCAAAATCACTTACTTTTATTAACATTCTCCATATTGAAGGCCTCAGACATTCGAATGCCTGATTTGGCTACAGCATAAATTCTGCTTTCCTAATGTAAAAGAGAGATTTAAACTGGATATTTAAAGCAAAGAAATGATTACTTTCAACACACATGCTTTTCATTTGCTCTCCATTTAATGCGCACTAGAGTACAGCATTATTACAAAACTGTCATTGCCAACTAAAATACACCACTCTGAACAGCACTGAGGAGGGTTTTCCATCCACGAGTCCCTCCATTATTTATCTTTGTTCCCAGGTTTTTGCTTGGTATTTTACACTCTTTTGGAGAGAGAGGAAAAAAAGTAAGAGAAAGCTTACTCACATTCAATTGCTGACTGTACACAGACTGTTCAATTGGTGACTGTGCCACCTTTCTACCATTCTAGAATATGGTTAAAAAGTAAAAAGGGAGAACCTGGAGTGGCTGTAACATGCAGCCAGGAACCATTCATTGTGGAGGATACCGGCCAGCAGTATCCATCTCGGCTGCGGATGTTCGTCAGCACTCGAGAAAAACATACACAGAGACAACCAGGTCCTGTGGGGGAATAGGAACAGCAGGGCCACTCCTCATGTGGGGAGCGCGCCGCTTGGCCACCCTCCCTGGTGGGGAGAGTGCGCCCGGTCCCCCTCTGGAGAGGCTTTTTATTGGTTTCGTTTGCATAAGAATTCAAAAAGGTAAGAATTCAAATAGGTAAAAGCTCATTACTCATTGCTAGGAAGTAAGGATCAAACAATAGATAACGAGGAAGCCTGAGGGCCTATTTTGAGTCAGGGTCGAAGAGCTGTAAAACTTTAGGGAACAAACTTACTTCTTCCTTGGACCCTTCTCATTCAACTGAGAGCATTCTAAACAAAGCAGTTTTCACAGGATTTTACATATTCTTTCTTAGGCCTGATCACCCGGGGAACCCGCCCTTTTCAGCGCAGAACTGCACCACCCTGTCATTGTTTCAGGCTTAGGTGGAGCAAGGGAAGTAAGGCAACCAAGAGATAAGGAGATTTTCTCCAAGACGATGAGGACTCAGACTAAGTCAAAGCCGAGGAGTGAGGGTCCATCACACCCTTTTGCTGTAGCCCCCAAAGTCCTTTCTTGGGGGCCTCCCACGTGATCGTGCCTGTCTTAGATCATTCCCCCCTTGGGGAATCTTACCCTTCATTGGCTAACCGACCAAGCATTGGGGTCCAGGCAGGGTGTGGTATGAAGGAGCAGAAGCCGCACTCCTGTCAGGGGGATAAGCTTGTCTCCTTGCTGGCTTACGGTTCCAAGGGCGTTCCCTTAGCCTTAGCCTAGGCGGGGGTTACAGCTTCTGATACCAGGCAGGGCGGTTCCCAACAATTCATAATCCCTGACTGCACATACATATTACTTTTAATATTCTACCATTCTAGAATATGGTGGAAGTAAAAATAAAGAAAAAACTTGAAATCAGAAATCACAGAATAGCATTGAAGTGCTACCACCTTCATATTTCAATGAAGTAGAAGAAACACCTGAGGTCAAATAATAATTGAATTTGAGAATTGCAATGGCATTTCTAATATTACCTTGTTCCAAAACCAGGTTCTAATTTTGCTTTCTCTTCTTCTCTTAGAGAGATCTCTGAAATGGGTACTGAAAAGGCTATTAGCCCTGCTCCCTGGGAGAACAGGGACTCCAGGATGTTCCTAATGCATAGATCACCGTGTCCTGAACTTCGTAAGGCACCTAACCTGGACACAGTGGTCTGGGCCATGGTATAGTAGGCAAGCAGGGCAGTCCCATTCAAGACTGTGCTAGCCAGTGGCCTGTGAGGTAACAAGCATGAGCTCTCTGACTGTCTGAGTCACTTTGGATTGAAGAGTGGCTGACTGAATGACTCAGATGTGGTTTCTTTGAGTTTGATTGTGAGATACATCCAAGACTGACAAACAGCAAGGTCAACAGAACAGAAGAACAAAAATAAGGCAATGAGCGGGAGGTATGAGGCAGCTGGAAGCCCTGAGAGAATGGAAGACACTAGTTAGCAGTAATGAGAGAAGGTCGCTGTGGACAGGAGAGGACAAGCTAAGCCACTGGACCAGGGGAGATGGTGTCACCTATTTCTAAGCAGTTGACTCTCAGAGGTGCTGTTGAATCCTCACATGCTGCCCCCCTAGAGTGACTATTGTATTTTGAATGACATTCAAGTTCAGTAAAGATGGGCTATGTCTTAAACTTTTAAAAATCCTTAAAATATACTTCCATAAATTGAGGTAATTAGAATTTATTTCTTTTCCTTGAAACCTGAAAATACCAATAAATAGAAATAGAACCTCAAACTTGGCCTGTCTGCTAAAAGGTTTCTGAAAAACAATACTACTTTTTCAGGACTGAATAGTTTCAGAAGATGAAGAAAAGCAAGACAAGCCAAAAAAAAAAAAAAAAAAAAGCAGTAAAATGGTTTGCCAACTAAAACAAACTTGAAAGCCTAACCTAAATCTCTGGAAATCTCAACATAATAACAGAAGCAAAATTTCAACTCCTCAATGCCTAAAGGGTAACATAACTGGAATTCCAGAGATTCACATGCCAATAACATTAATTTTTTTTTCTGTCCACAATTTAGTAATAAACTGCAGATGGTTTTATATGGACACTGCAATGAAAGGTTCTTCTGAAAGTAAATAAAGCTGAGACATCCCAAGGCCCTGAGTTTATACTAGGAAAACACCGTCATCTTAATTTGCTCAATTGTATTGTTCACTAAATAAAAAATAATACCCAAAACTCCTGCAACCAAGATGTTTCTCTTGAGGTCAAAGGTTAAATTATGTCACTATGGAAAGGAAAACAAAGCTATAGAACAAATATATTTCACTTTGTTTCAAATATAGGAAGAATTTTTTTAGTCTGGCAATTCCTAGGAAGAATCACGTAATTGATGTGTTAATTATTGTATTAATCGTCAGTGTCTCAATGGACAAAGTCCGGTCTATTCTGTATATAGAGGAAGATGCTTTTGGTTAAAGTAATGGGTTTATAAGCTCATGAAAAGTAAAATAAAATTTCTTTTTAAGCCATTCAGGTACATAATTAAGTACAAGAACTGATGAACAATAAGAATGAAGCGTCTGGGTTGAGAATTCACACAAAAGTATTACACAGTTGAAGAGGAACTTTTCTTCTCTATCCTTGATGTTTTCTTCCGTGTGGAGGGAGCTCTAGTAATTGAACACTCCTGAACTCTCTCCTCCCTGAGGAGGAGGAGTGGCTTAGCATGATTGGTCAACTTAAGAAACTGAACAGGCAGAGCCCAGCACTTTCCTCTCCCCTTTCTCTTGAGAAGTAGCTGCGCACAGGAAACAACCAACTGTTCTTGCTCTGGGTTTTAAGTTTCAGAGAGGCAGGGCCTCACTGGCAGAAGGCTGTAGAGATTCAGCACTACCAGGTGAATAAATCTGCTAATCCTAAGGTCCAATATTATAAAGCCCATTTGCCCACCAATTCTCTAAATGCAGTTTAGAGAATAAAGGTAATATTTTGATCTCCCATCTGTCTTATCCTTATCCTATTTCTCAGTTGATTCAGAACTGAGTGAAAAAGAGAAGAGGAAATTATATTCTAAAAACTTGGAACTGTCAGAATAAAGCTGGATTTGAAAAGAAACAGGAAGAGAAGTCAAACCTGAAAACGAGTGTTAAGGAAAAAGTAGTGTGTACGTGCTGCACACAGCAATGTAATTTACCCAGGAGGGAAAACGGTGCAGGGGAGGCGTGGGAGGTTTGCTGCATGCCGCTTTCTTTGCGGAGTTACAGGCTTCCTGGTCATCTGAACACGGGGATTCCAGTGAGTCATAGGAAAACAATCCATCGTCACAACTGGTGTCCATATTCTCCGAAATGTCTATACTGTCGCCATCAACTAGATCAAGATCTGTTTCCTGAGGTCTCAGTGGTCGTATCATGCTTATAGCATTTCTGTTTGTACCAAACATCCTATCGGAGCTTAACTGTGGCTGGCTTAAGTGCCTTTTGGCCAGTGCTACACTTATGCTGAAAACATTAGGAATCCTTAACTTTGGAGGTGGCAGGTTTGATGAAGGCACTAATTGTGTTCCTTTTCCAGGCAGAAGGTTAGGATGCTTTGGAGTCAAAGCTGGGGTCAAAATAGGGCTTGGGGTGTTGGCCTCACTCGATGAAGATGAATAATCCAGTCTCTGAGACTGAAATTTTTTATTCAGTTCATCTGAAGAACTATCATGTTCTTTTTTACTTGAGTCAGAATTTCCCTTTCCATGAAGACTATTCTGAGCTTTCCATTGTGCTTCCTGTTGCCAAGAATACAGCTTCTTGTGTTCTGGTATCTTTATGCCAAAAGTCTCTTCTTCAAATATAGAGCTGCTGTCATCAGACGCTGTCAGATATGTCTCACTGCCCATCCTGCTACACTGGGCCCCTTCCTCTGACGTGTGGCTGGAAAGGGTGGACGTGTACCTGGACTTGGATCTTCCTTTGCTCCCGTCTTCTTCATCGGAACTCCAGTCGCTCACTGGAGCCCCAGAATTCTGGGATAAACTGCCGTCTGTAACAAAGCTTGGTCTTGTTTTCCGATTCTGTTCTGAGACACAAGGGGTTTGACGCAATGTTCTCTGACCTCGGTTGTTTTCTTGAATTTGGTTATCGACAGACTTTTCTGGAATTTCCATTTCTACAAAAGAATGCATCGTGTTAGCATGTTGTCTTTAATAATATAATCTTTCTATACATTTAGCTTTATGTAACTACATTGTAAAAACTGGAGTTGTCATAAGAATAAAGTTAACTGACATTATCCTTTTTTACTTTTATTTTTAAATAATTTTATTTATTTATTTAAAAAAGATTTTATTTATTCATTCCTAGAGAGATGGGAAGGAAGGGAGAAAGAGAGGGAGAAAAACATCGATGTGTAGTTGCCTCTCACATGCCCCCAACTGGGGACCTGGCCTGCAACCCAGGCATGTGCTCTGACTGCGAAAAAGAACCAGGGACCTTTCGGTTTGACGTCCGGCACTCAATCCACTGAGCCACACCAGCCAGGTCTCCAGTTCCTTTTTAAGTCATATGTCTTTTTAAAACACAAGTTTGGAAATGAGAAACCTTATATAAAACATGGAGTCTTAACACTTCAGTAGCATAGTATCAAAATTAAACTGCTTTTCATAAATGAGCATGTTGGGGGAAGAAACTGGCAATAGTCTAAGGAGAGATAATAAAAGAAGCAAAATGTGAAAACAGCCACCAAAAGAAATGAATACCACTAAATATTTTTAGAAGCAAAGAAAATGACAACCCTTTTTTAACTATATTTCAAAATTATCATAGGTAAATTTAAACATAATAAATATAAATAACAAACTTTGTTCCCAAACTTCAATACATGAAATATGCAAAGCCATGAAGAAAACATAAACAGAGAAAGACTTTCCTCCTTCTACTTTTGGTTTAATCATAACTACAAAATGTGTTTTTATAGTAAGAATAACACTCCTCTAAAAATGTCTTTAGATATGGCTTATCTTGTTTATAACATAACTAACAGAATGAACAACTGGCTTCGGGAATAGTGAACTAAAAATTTAGATTGAAGAGTACAGAAAAACCTTTGAAAACATAAAGACACAGATATAACCTTCCTAACTACAGAAACAGAGGTTGGACACATAAACTTTACAATTTGGTATCAGGCAACTTGTGAAATTTGCAAATAAACAAGAGCTTCAATACAGGCAACTTCGACTGTACTGAGCTGTATGCAACTGTTAGAAAGTAGGAAGGGCCCTGGCTGGTGTAGCTCAGTGGATTGAGTGCGGGCTGCGAAGCAGGAGGCATCGCAGGATCGATTCCCAATCGGGGCACATGCCCCGGTTGCAGGCCAGGGCCCCCAGCAACCACAAACACACATTGATGTCTGTCTCTCTCTCTTTCTCTCTCCCTCTCTCTCTCTCTCTCTCTCCTTCCCTTCCCTCTCTAAAAATAAAGAAATAAAATCTTAAAAAAAAAAGGAAAGTAGGAAGGGAATTAAAACAATTTCACAAAAAAAAGTAAGTAATGGCATGAAAGTGAATAGCAAAGGAGCCTTCTAATTGGAAAAACATGTAGTTTTCAGAATTTAATAATCAAAGATAGACTTTTAAGGCTATAATATTTCTCCTTTGAGGGAAGAAAACAGGAACTGAAAAGAGAGAAGATGCAAATTTAAGGCTCCCTAAAACACCTGGGAAAAGTCACCCTAGGTGGCAAAGTCAGCAGCCGTACCACAAAGCCAGATTTAGAGGGACTTTAAGACTAAACAAAGAACAGAAATCTGTGCACAGGCCCAGGGTTTTAACATCTAGGCAGATATTTTCCTCTTTGAAGCAATAAAGGAAAGATCAAAGCAGTTATGAAACTGAACCCTCGTGCTCTTTTTCTTTATGAAGTTGCAGTGTCATAATTAATATTAGATAATTTTTAAATATTTTAAATAAATGATGAGTAGAAACTTCACAATTCTAATCTGAAATGCTGAGCTGAAACAAGTACCACATAGGTACAAATGTAAACTTTTTAATTCTAAATATCACTGTTTCCTACTGTAGGAAGAAGTATCAAAAGAAGAAAATCAGTTTCTCCTCCGCATCACTGGCAAAGCCTCTTAAAAAAAAGAAAAAACCTGAAGAAAATAAGATACACAAAGTTAAATGCAGTCCTGCTCTTTAAAAATGTTCCCATACAATATCAAGTTGTCAAGGAAATAAGGAAACTACAATGAATCATCCAGATATATTTTTTATATTTACTCTTTTGAGTGATGAACAAATTAAAAATTAAAAAAGAAAATTAAGCTATATGAAGATTAATCTTAGCAAATGGTTTTTCCCTTTAAAAAATGTCAAATCAAATTCTGCCAGTCCATAAATACCTTCTATGTCTTTTCCTTCCGTGAACTCGGGTTCTTTAGATGATATCTTGCTCATTTCCTCAGATTTTACTACTTGAGGAGGACTCCGTGCTCGGGATAAGAAGCACCCAAAGGTCAAACTGCTCAGGCGCTGGCCTTCCAAAAGCTTTGGTGTGGAAACACTGGATGACTTCTTCCCTTGAACTTCTGCAAGATCATTAATCAGAATCAAGATCTGAATTTTTTTTTTAGTTTGTTACATAAAAATGAACCAAAGCATATAAAAAAACATGGACGGGTTACTCCTCATACCAGAAATAAAAGCCTGAAAATCCTAAAAGTCATTTTTTTCATTTATTATTCAATTTATTTAAACTAAAAAAAAATTCACCCATTTCTCCTACTTCCTATCTTGCAACCACCCAATATGTTCTCTCCGTCTATGAGCTTGTTTTTTAAATTGTATTTATTTATTTTTAGATTCCACATATAAAGGATCATAAGGTATTTGTCTTTCTCTGTCTGACTTATTTCACTTAGCATAATGCCCTTGCAGTCCAAACATGTTCTTATAAATGCCAAGATTTAATTTTTTATGGTTGGGTAATATTCCAAATAAAGAGCTTCTTTATTCATTTCTCCATTGATAGATATTTAAATTGTTTCCATATTGTAACTATTATAAATAACGCTGCAATAAACATCTGGGTGCATATATCTTTTTGAATTAGTGTTTTCATTTTTTTGGATAAATACCCAGAAGTAGAACTGCTGAATCACATGGTAGTTCTATTTTCAATTTTTTGAAAAACCTCAGTACTCTTTTCCATGGTGGCTGAACCAATTTACATTCCCACTAACAGTGTATGAGGGTTCCCTTTTTTCCACATTCTTGTTCACATTTGTTATTTCTTGTCTTTTTGATAATAGTCATTCTGACAGGTGTGAAGTGATTTCTCATTGTTGTTTTGCATTTCCCTGATGATTAATGTTGCTAGGCATCTTATCAGGTATCCGTTGGCCATCTGTATGTTTTTGGAAAATGTCTGTTAAGGTCCTCTTCCCATTTTATAAACAGACTGTTTCTCTTTCCTTTCCTTTTCTTTTCTTTCTTTGCTATTCTATTGAATTGTATTGAGTTGCATTTTTATATATTTTGGATACATGATTTGCAAATATTTTCTCCCATTCAGTGGGTTGCCTCTTCATTTTATTGATGGTATCCTTTGCTGTACAGAAGGCTTTTAGTCTGATGTAGCCTCACTTGTTTAATTTTGCTTTTGTTTTTGGTGTCAGATTTTAAAAAATCATTGCCAAGACCTACATAAAGGGACTTACATAATTAAATTTCATATTCATTTACATATGGTAACATGGAACCCTCAATGTCTAGCATCACATGCTGACATTTGAAATCTGTTTAGCCCTGGCCAGTGTAGCTTGGTTGGCTGAAGTGTCATCCTGTGCACCAAAAAGTTGTGGGTCTGATTCCCAGTCAGGGCACATGCCTGGGTGGCAGGTTCAATCTCAGGTTGGGGCAAGGATGGGAGGCCACCAATTGAAGTTTCTCTTTCACACTGATGTCTCTTTCTGTCTCTCTCCCTTTCTCTCTCTCTCCCCCTTCCTTTCTCTCTGAAAGCAATGAAAAAATATTCTCAGGTAAGGATAAAAACAATTTTTTAAATCTTCTTAAATAGTTTAATGGTCGAAATATTTTTTTGCCCAGGCTGGTGTGGCTCAATTGGTTGCAGCTTTGTCCTGTAACCAAAAGGTTGCAGGTTTTATCCCTGGTCTGGGTGCATATAAGGCAACAAATCAATGCTTGTCTCTCACATTGCTGTTTCTCTCTTTCCCTTCCTCTCTCTCTAAAAGCAATGAAGAAAAATGCTCTTGGGTGAGGATAAAAAATATATATACACACACACACATACATACATATATATATTAACTGCAGAGAGAAAAATATCCAAACCCTTTAACAGTAGTTATTGAATAAAAATAAAAACAAAAACAAACCAGATTATAAACAATTAGAGTACTATAGCTTCTTGCAAAATCAAGTATTGGTAAATACCAGTCAAGTAGTGGTAAAATTTGATTATGAAGTAATGCTACTAATGGTGAAGAAAATGTGACCAAGGTCTTTGTTGCCAAGACAAACAGGAAATTTAGATCCTCACTGGGGCAAATATCACATGGTCACTGTAATAACTTTGGCTTATTGTAGTTTTTAGCATGTCTGTCATGAGAAAACAGGTGGAGGGGCTTGGTCTATGGTGATCACAATATTCAGAGCCTTAATCACTTCTTTAGAGGAAAAAAGGTGTGGGGGAAGCTTCTGGATAGATAATTTACATAGCTAGTGGAATAATTATAGGTTTAATTAATCTTTTAGGATTTGTAACATTGCTGCTTGTAACATCAAAAGAATGGAGATCCAATGACAGTAATGAAAGTTTTCAAGAAAATTAAATTCTTAACTCTGGGAGAGCACCAAAGGTTAGGTTAAATGACAACTGATAATTGTATACAAGAGAAGAAAAACACCTTTCTATAGTGTATACCTTCAGATGTATCTTTTATTATTTTCATGTTGATTATCTCTCACAGAACTAATTCAAAATAGTTTAGTAATCATACACATGCATATATTTTTTAAACTGCAGATGACCTTTGAAAAACACAAGTTAGAACTGTGTGGATTCACTTACACAGAGATATTTTTTTCAATAAATACCTGCACTGTTTTCCATAATTAGCGGGGAGTCCTCGGATGCAGAGGGCTGAATATATGCATCAATCTGCGTGATATTATTTAGGGAAGTTGAGCATCCATGGGTTTTGGTATCTGCGGGGAATCCTAGAAATAATCCCCCACTTATACTAAAGGACATCATAAGTTTTGGGGGAGTCAAAATTCTACCTGGATTTTTAACTGCACAGGGGTCAGTGCCCCTAACCCATGTGTTTTTCAAGGGTCAACTGTACAATATTACAGCTACATGTATCATATCTATTCTTATCCAGTCCAAATCTAAGAGACTGCCAATTAAGACTAGAACTGCAAGCTAAGAATACCGGGGAAAATAGCCTTTTGAGAGTAGGCTTAGTACATCTGATCTATTTCAATTAGGATAACCAACCCAAGGACTTGAAACTTTAGTTCTAAATATGGAATTCCAGATCAACTATCAGAACACCTGTTTTTCATCATATAGGTGGAGGAAATTTGTGATAGATACATATTTTGGTCCTCATCCATAGTTCCTGGAACATAGCTTCTAAAACCCTTGGAATTTCCTAAGTAATAGTGATAAACGTGTCTTTTGTTTTTATACTAGCCCTTTTATAATAGCCCTTTCAGACAAATCTGGGTTTATGTAAATAAGGAGATAGCCTCAGGATGAGGACTGGTTGCCAGGGAAAACAACCAAGTGATTAGAGGTTTGAAAATTTCAGCCTCACCCTTCACCTGATACCTCTGACCTCAGGCAAAGGGAGAAGGGATGGCAGTTGAATTAATCATCAGTGGCCAATGATTTAATTATTTAATCAACCAATCATGTCTACATAGTGAAACCTCCATAAAAACCCAAAAGGATGGAGTTCAGAGAGCTTCCAGGTTGGTGAACATGTGGGGACGCAGAGAGGATGATGCATTTAGATAAGATCAGGGGCGTCCAGGGTGATTTGGCCATAGGCTGGGTGATGCATTTAGATAGAACACAAAAGCTCTGTGCCTCTTCTCCCACAGCTTGCCCTACATACCTCTTCCATCTGGCTGTTCCTGAGTTATACCCTTTGTAATAAATAAGTAATCTAGTAAGTAAGCACTGTTCACCTGTGTTCTGAGTGCTGCTCTAGTAAATGATCACACCTGAGGAGCGGGTCATACACTTCCAGCTCATAGCCAGTTGGGCAGAAACAGGCGTGACCACAATCTGTACTTGGGGTTGGGAGGCGGGGATAGTTTTGTGGGACTGAGTTCTTCACTTCAGGATCTGATGCTAACTCCAGGTAGATGGTGGCAGAATTGAATTAAATTTGTAGGACACCTAGTTGGTGTCCTCTGAGAATTAAAGAATTGCTTGGTGTAGGCAAAGTCCCATATCTGGAGTCAAAAGTATAGAGAAGGGAAAAAAAAGCGGAGTTTTCCCCTTTACAAAATGAGAGCAGTAAGTGTTAACATGCAGTAGACAAAATACTTTCATATGTCCTATAATGAACACCCCCACCTCCCATGAAACTGAGACGGCACTATTACAATCACCATTTGCTAATGTAAAAAAATCTGGAGACATAACAGTTATTAAATTGTAGAGTGTTAAAGTTGACTTCAAAGCCTGTGTTCTTTCTGCCATGCCAGAAAGTTTTCTGATGCATTCTGGGAACTCCTGGGCCTTATGGAAATGGCCCAGAGGGTAGAGGAAGGGGCTTGGGTGAAGCTAAATATTGGACTCTGGACCCAATACTGCTTTTTCCTGTTTTGTCTCTTGAGATTCTATACAAAAAAAATTGTTTTAAATAGTATTCTGTTGCTAAATAAGTTTGAAACCCACTGTACTAGGTCACGGATCTAATAACCCTGCTGCTTCGCCTCCTCTTCATCTCTGTGCACTTGCATGGCCATCACCGGAACAGCGCATTAAGTAAATTTTTATCTCTGACTCTGCCTCTCATTCTCTGGTTTTGAAGTTGAAGAGAAGAAAGTAACCCTAAGCATTGGGAAATGCAAAGGGTTTATTCATATTACAAAATTCTGCTCTAAATATTCAGCCTGTCAGAATTTTAATCACTGTTGATAACCATGACATAAAGTGAAATTAGAAAATACCACGACTAACTTTTTTAAATAAACATATCTAAAATTAAATGTTGAAATTAATATCACCTCCTTTGTGTTATTTGCTACTGTCTACCTGTGTTGTCTAGCATGGCCATGTGGTTATTTAAATATAAATCAATTCAAGTTCAGTAAAATGTAAAATTCAGTTCCTTAGTTGTGCTAGTCATATTTCAAGTGCTCACTAGTAAAATTCTACATAGCCAAATGCATCCAATTAAGCTATGCTAGTCAAAGTACTCACACCTTATAGTTTTTTAAATTTAATAATAATTATGATATTCTCATTAATTGGGTATAATCTATGGGCAAGGTAATATAATAGGTCCTTTATTATTTTATTTCATAACCTTTATTTTTCACATGTGCCTTTACTTTTTTTCTTTAGCAACGTTTTCCCAGATTTATTGAAGCATGCATAATTAACAAACAAGACTGTAACGAAGTCGTGCACCGTGTGACGACGTTTCCGTCACTGACGGTGAGAATGAGTAGAGCCCACTCTTAGCCATACCTTGTAGTTTCGACTGCATCATTCTTATCTCTTCCGTTTGGTTTTGATTGATCAAACGGAGATTCTGATTCTCCAATTCCAGCTGAAAGGACACATGGTATTCTTTTACACAGGAATAATATTTCTAAAATATACTAGTAAATTATAATATTTAGAAAACCTTAACACCTAGTTACACATAAAGCAATCTACAAAAGAAATGATAAGCAAATCTGAGATGAACTTATTGGCATAAGTTATCAACCTAGATAATTCTGGCTTCAGTATTCATTTTTTCCAAAACTAAGAATTTTAAGTGTTTTCATTCCTGTCCCTTTTCACTGAAAAATTACTTTAAACCAAATTATTTCAGCATTTAATCTGTCATGTAAACTAAATAATGTATGCTTCTCAGATACTGAATATATTAATTTTATGGTATACATATTCTATACTTATTTAAAATTAATTAGAACTAAAATCTACTAATTAGAATAAGGCTACTTACACTGGTTACCATGAGCCAATATTTTTCATTTTAGAAATACATTAAATATTACAATGGAAGCTACCTATCTCCCATTTACCAAAAGACAGCAGCACAGGGCGGGAACGAGCAGGATGACAGCTGGGGCAGGGTGGGGCAGGGTGTTACGGGGTGGAGGGATTGAGCAAAAAGGAAAAGGACTCATGCACACGGACAACAGTGTACTGATTGCTGCGGGACAGGCGGGGTGGGGGGAGGGGGAGGCGCACGAAACGGGACTAAGTGGTAATGGAAACCAATTGATCAGAATTTTGCGTCATTCACACTGATCATATATTCTGATGATTTACTTACTCAAAAGAAGTAATAGGTATAGAAAAGGCAAAATATAGCAATAAATACCTCATTTAACTTAATCGTTACCCATTCTTTGATCTTAGCTGCTTTCTCTTCTATTATTTTAGCTTCTTGTATCCTTATTTGTTTCTGAAATAACATTAGCAGTTTGTTTAATTCAAACATAAGCTTACTGGTCTGAAAATGTTATATCGTAAATAGAAAAAGCAAATCCACTTAAAACCTGTTTCCACATTAATACCTCTATCTTCAAATCACCAAATAGAGTTAAAATGACAATTGTCCAGCAGATATAGCAATGAATCATAAAAGCATATACAAATATTACTAGTTTTAACAATTGCCATTCTCTTTCTCTAAAAGATAATGTATTGAAATCAATGCATTGAACTTATCAGCAAAATAAACCATTTCTGAAAATGGTCTAGCAGGGGTGTCCAACCCTTGGCCCATGGACCACATGCAGCCCAGGATGGCTATGAATGTGGTCCAACAGAGAATTGTAAATTTGCTTAAAACATTACAGGATGTTTCTGTGATTGCATGTTGCAATGTATTTCATGTGTGGCCCAAGACAACTCCTCTTCTGGTGTGGCCCAGAGACACCAAAAGGTTGGACACCCCTGGCCAGGGTTTATAAAGATGTTAGGATAGAGGTCAACCGGGTTAGAGAAAAAGAGTCTGAATCTCCTCTGGGGTGTGGCTTGTTTTCCCCACAAACACTAATGGTTTTTAAAGATCCAGGGAAAAAATGAAGATCCAAAAACCACTCGCTCACATTTACCAACCTTAAAATCTGGTTATGGTCACAAAACTACTGTGAATATGATTATGCTATAAACTACAGTGGGCGGGGACTAGGACTGGTGAAAGCCTGGCAACCACCGACCCGAGAAAACACTGATCCCTGGAGAAATAAAAACAATGCTGCAAGTAAACAATTTAACATATTTAACAGTGGCATAGTGGTCATATTTAAATGATGCTAAATAACTGTAATGCAATTTTTCATAATAAAATTTTAAATAAACTAAATACAATACTTAATCTCAATAAAGTGGTTCAAAAGTGTACATGTTACTAAGCAGCTGGATTGGCAAGAAAAATATTTAAAATATAATGTTCCATCAACATTTCCAACACTCTAGCAATCTAAAACGAAGATTTATTGGACACACTTTACAGACAGAAATGCCTGCTGGTAACCCAGTGTTTTCACCCTGAACACTGCACTCAAACTTGAGAGTCGGGAGCACTGTCACGTGCAGAGAGGGTCAGCGCCTCGGAATTACCCCAAATACTATTGGACTTTCACCCTTCACCCACAAATGTGATGCGATTCTGTGCATTGACCAACTGAGTAAGATTTTTGGCCGCAATTTAGGAGTTTAGGCTCTCCCCCTTTAATCTTGGTGGTGTGCATAAATGAATGCACAGATTTAGAACTGTGTGATGATCAAATTCCTCCTCACCTGCTCTTCCAGCTGCAGTTCCAAGCTTTGGATGATGTCATCTTTTTCCTGTATTAAGGTCTCCAGATCTTGACACTTTTTATATAACCTTGTCTCTGATTCACTGGTTTGAATATTAGCTGCTTTTAACTTCTCTTCCATAACTTGTACCTAAATTCAGAAGATAAACTATTAAGCTTAGGCACATACTTAATTTATCATAGTATTAAATTTAGAATTTTACTTTAACATTAAATAGGTTCCTAAAAGTTATCATCATAAAAGAAAACTATTGAACAGCACAGTTTAATATATATAGTAATTATAAAGTCTGAAGACTACTTTGCCAAGTGGTGTTAACTTTGAGGTACAAAAGGGTACATAAAAGATTTGAAGAATATGACTATATCACATAAAGTAATGTACTGTTCAGTAGAACAATAATAATAGGCAAAGCATTTCATAAGAATACAGCATCAGAAAGTTTCCAGCCCTAACTTTTTCATAATTTTAAACAAAGTGTGAATACAAAGTAAAGAAGGTGAATGGTGAGAGAAGGACTCAAATTGGATGACCTAGCATGATAACACATTTATGAGGGGGGCAATTAAACTTAGGTGAAAAAGAAACACATGTACAATGTACAATGTGGAAAGCAAAAAAGAAAACAAAACAACCTTAAACCCCACAGATGGAATCATAAAAAATCGTAAAAGTATGAGTGTCACCATACAGGTAGGAGAGCATGCCCAGTGGGGGTTTACTGAGTCACTAGTTTAGGAAACATTCAGTGAACACTGGCCATGGCCGGGCCTGTTCTGGGGCCTGGGGAGACATTAGGGAGTGAGACAGAACTAAAAGCTCTGCCTGCATTGAAATGAAATTCTACTGGGTAAGAGAGATCACAAGTATAATAAAGTTATAAAAATTATACAGTACTTTACACAAGATGATCAGGGCAACAGGGAAAAAACTAAAAAAAGATAAAAGGGTGTGTCTGAGGGGTGAAGTGGTGCCTCAAATTCAGTATCTAAGGTATACTGGCTCTGCTTGGATCTTCTGCAAAACACACATGGACATGAAATCTTAGAAGGGATGTGTGAGTGTTGATAGTGAGAAAGAAAATAAAGTACTGCGGACTGTTGACGATATTACGCACTCCAGGTAAGAAAGAATGCAATTTTTGCAAGGTTTCAGATTACAGGGCTAAAGAGGGAAAATATGAAAAAGTATTTGCAAAATTAAAATTATAGTTAGGATGAAAAACTTTCAACTATTAAAAACACCTCTGAAAATCACAAGGAGTCCTTACTTAATGTTTAAAAATACTTAACAGCTAGAAGGATGATGTTAAGGTTAGTTTGGTTTTGTTTTTTTTTAACTATGAATACAAGGTTTCATCTGTGGGTTCACTGTATAAACGTAAATTCAACTCAGCTGCCAGCAGTGTCCTGTTTAAATACCACCCACATGGCTGGAAAGAACAGGATGACAGCTGGTGGGGGGAGGTTAGGGGGTGGAAGGATTGAGCAAAAAGGAAAAAGGACTTGTGGACATGGACAGCAGTGTGGTGATTGCAGGGGGAGGGGGTTGTAAGGGAAAATGGTCATGGAAAAATATACAATAAAAATTTTAAAAATTTAAAATAATAAAAATGTATTTCACTATCCAAATGATAATTTTAAGTTACTGTAAGGTTTAGATTTTTAAACATCATGTAGCAAGCTTTCTGCAGAAAGTGTAGACCAACAGTCAAGGACAAAGGTCAGCCTTAGAGGTACTGCCATGAAAAAACAGCTGAAGCAGGACAAAGAGCTGGGCAGTAAACACCAAGGGAAATGTTAGGATGCTACAGCCAGTTCTGCACAGGGCAACTTGTAGCTGTAGAAGCAGAGAGCGAAGAGCGGAGACCAAGTCCGAAGTGGTATTTCTGTTCCAGGGATACAATAATGGATGATAAACCTAAAGGGGAGCAGAATATATATCTCCCCCAAATATGCCACTTTGGCATGTTGATCATTTGCATTAAAGTTACTTGAGAAACAGCCAGTACAAGAATACAGCATCAGAAAGCAGGACTTTGTCCCCCTCAAAGCAGGAAACAGCTCCCACATGAAAGGTGCCCTCCCTGTATTAGGAGGGTAGAGGCATCCTTATCACCAGACAGGAGGAATTTAAGGCCGAGAATGCTAGATAAACAAACCTTGTTACTGCTTCACTTGATTTAGTGAAGCCCACGCCCCTTTGCCTTGTCTATACTGCACAAGTTTATTGTTTCCCTGACAAAGGAAAATAAAAGGTATAAAAGCCGCCTGCTTTGTTCACTTCTAGGATTCTCATCTTTATGGGGCTCCCATACATAATTAAATTTGTTTTTCCTGATAATGTGTCTTATGTCTATTTGATTATTAGATTGCCCTGTCCGGTATGGCTCAGTTGGTTGAGCAGCGTGCCACAAAGCGAAAGGTCGCTGGTTGGACCCCCGGTCAGGGCACGTGCCTGGGGTACAGGTCAGTCCCCAGTTGGGGGCGTGCAAGAGGCAACCACTTGATGTTTCTCTCGAACATCAGTGTTTCTTTCTCTTTCTCCTTCCCTTCACCTCTCTTTAAAAATAAATAAATAGAATCTTAATTATGAGATCAACCAAAGAACCTACAAGAAAAAATTCTACCCCTATTAACCTCAAGAAAACCAAAAGTAACTGAATAAGAATAGAAATAAGTATGAACAGACCTACACCTACAGTCTCTTTTGATTAAGTCAGAGCAAGCCACCCTAGAGATGTTGGGCTGCCACACAAAACCATCCTATTATTGCTTAGGAAAGGTCTATGGTCCTGGGACACTCTGGCTTGGGAGTACTCTTCCTCCTTGAAAAACATGTTCATTTTGAAAGGTGTTCTTGTTTTATGAACGAATGCCACAGTCAGACTCCTTGGATGCATCTTTGTCATGTGCAACTCAATCATTCATCACCATCAAGGTCTCCTAGGGAGTTTAAATCAATCATCACTTCTTAAATAAACAACTTTCCTAAGCAAGGAAAATATTGGCAAACATGGCAAAGTCTCCTGGGGAAAGAGATCATGAAGTGGTTGCAGGCAACCTACTTGCCAACTGGTCCTGTTAGGACCAAGTTCCACAGGACTCATCAGCCTTTCTTGGTAATGAGTATGAACAAGATCTCCAGGAAAGGGAAGAGGCCTCCAGAAGAACCAAGCAGCCTTTTAAAATGTCTTACCACAAGGCCACAGCAAATAGCCTGGTTCTTTTTTGATTCATTTAACTACCTGGAGATTGACTGATAACAAACATATATGAATTCAAATTGGCTATTAAAGAGACTCTTGTAATTACCTATAAAAGGATATCCTCCAATGAGGAATCCTTTATGCTTTTAGGCTCTTTCTCCTCTATTTTCAGAAGATCTCCTCTCTCTCAACACACTCCTCAGCCATCTCTCCAAAGCATTTGCTGATTCTGAGGTTCCTGGGCTATTGTGCAGTAAAGGGTTCAGCAGACTTGGGGTGTTCACACCCTGCACATTCCAAAGAAAGGACTGACCCTTTATTGGCTACTGGGAAATAACCTCTGAGCCCTTAAAAATATGGTGATAAAACTGTCTTTACATACCTGAGATACTGGGCCACACCAGGTAGTTTATGCTAACAATTCAACTTTATGATGAGTGCCTTTTTTGTTCATTCACCTGAGGTCCCAGGCCATGCTGTAATCATTTTGGCTGCTGGAGGGGTTGGAGACTTGGTAGCTAAGGTCAATCAGATGTGCATTCTGTGCTGACAAGACTGACCCCCTTCCCCAGTAAAAATTCTGGACACCAAGGTTTGGATGAACTGGTTGGCCATATTTTGTATGTGTTCTCACACATCATTGGTGGGATCATCAAAAGCCTCCCTGTGTAACTCTGCTGTGACAGGGCAGCTGGAAGTTCATTCCTGGTTTCCCCTGAACTCTGCCCTATGTGCATTTTTCCTTTGCTAACTTTAATTTGCACCCTTTTACTGTAATAACCCATAACCATGAGTTTAACAGCTTTTCTGGGTTCTGTGGTGAATCATCAAACCTGAGGGTAGTCTTAAGGACTCCGATGCAACTCCATATGGAATTTTCCATTTTCATGCCCACACTGGAAAAAGCAGGAGCTGTAAATATTGTTTCCATTGTAATTACCTTACTGATATTTCCTTCTTTCCATTTCTAACCTTATCCCCTCACACACACTACAGGTAATTAAGATGTGACTATATTTTTGAGTGGGGGCTGAAAGTTTCTGTTTCTCTACGTACACCGCAATGACAAGACAAACATGCCTGACCATCCCAAAACAGAATAAAGACAGGAATTTTAAGAGTATCTGGACTCCCAGACCTTTTGCAGTTATTTAAAATTTATTGCAAATTAATTAATCATTCTCATCACATCTTAAACACAATTATTTTGGCATAGTGCTCTATATTTTATGCAGTCAGGCCAGAACTATTCTCACTGAAGGTGAAAAGAAAGGAACAGCTCTGGATAAAGTAGGTTTCCATGTAATGAAATAAATCATTACAAGGTCCTGGAGATTAGGATGACTGAGTAGCAACCATTTATTAAGAACCAAAAATGACGAATACTAAGAACCAACTTTACAGAAAGGCAGATTAGCCCACATAGTAGAATAGTCAAAGAGAATTGTAAACCCAGCTTCTACCAGGTCTGAATCAAACACAGGCAAGTGCATAAACCCAGGAGGACGGAAGGAAAACACAAACTTCTTCAGGGGAAATTATCTACCACTCTTTGCTGAGCATAGAACGGTGTGGCACAGTGGAGTACACACATAATCAGTCACTTGAGAATGAATCCTGTGCACCAGTGTCTTCCGAGGGTGCCATTGGCTGCTTTTGTCTCTGGGATACTCATGAGTAGTACCAGGTTGATTTGCACACACTGCTTTCAAAAGTTGTGAATAACAAACACGTACTATAACATTAAGTGTAAAGAGTGCTAAGATTTCTCTAGAAAAATGGGTGATTTTTTTCACAGCCAACTTATTTAATGGTTGTGTAGGTGATGCCATTCACGAGTAAACCAGAAGAAAAATGTTCAAAGCTAAAAAGTGTAGCACCGAGCCGGTTTCAGCTGATTCCTGCTTATAGTGGTGAAACATTCCTTTTTGGTTAATAAAAATACAGTTTAAGTCTTAGGATATGGCTCAATGACAAAGGACAAGCTGAATTTAAGCAACATAAACAGTAGATAGGCCACAGTCCCATGGAAACTGTTAAAGAGAGCACAGGATTCAGTTACCCTAACTTAATAATATTTACTTAATCTTGTGAAGGCCAAGAAAAGTTGCTATGATTGGTGCATGAGAATTCATCTGCTCTGTTTATGTTTCCTGTTAACTTGCAGATTCATTATGAAGTATTTAAGAAAAGAAATTCCTTTGGAAGCAGAAAAAATAGGGACTGCAGAAATTTAAAGTGTTGTGACAAAAAGAAATTATCTACAGATTGTAATAAATTATATAGAAACCGGGAGATTTGCCATCTCACTCTTTTGGGGGCGGGGGTTGATTTAATTAGGGGAGTGTGGCTAAAATAACCAATCGTGGTATTTTAGTGATTAAAAACGTAATGCAAAGAACTAAACAACTTTGCGCCTGGTATCCTCAAAGGACAACTTCAAATAAAAAAGTGACATTTTCTAATTTCACTGTTAGTTATTGGCTTTGTAGCCAATCATTACATAGAAGTGAAAGTATTACTATTTGACTCAATCAGCTGAAGACTATTAAAAAACCAAGCACAGCACAAATCCTTCCCATTACTACTAGGACTTCTACCAATACCTAAATTTGAGGTTTTAAAGAATTATTGGTAGTTTTTTGATGTAACGATAGTACTATAGTTAAGATTCTTAAGTCTTTATTTTTGGATTAGTTGCTGACATACTCCTGAGTGAAATGATATGATGTCAGGGTGTGTTTCAGAACAACCCGGTGTGGAAGTGAGGAGGTGTAAACTAACCGTGAGGTCACTAACTGTTGAGGTTGGGGTTGAGTGTTCCTTTCACTGTATTCTCTACTCTTGCAGTGGTTGAAATTTGACATAATAAAGTTTTAAGATTTCTTTTCAAGTCTAATCCACTTAAGAACATTAAGGACTGGGTTAGTCTGGGTTTCTTCAGAAATTTGTCAGGCCATTAAAAAACCCTACTGTGGAAAATTAAATCTTTTAGGTGAAAACAAGAAAACAAGATTTGATAGTACTGTAATCAAATCAAAGAAAGATGACAAGAGCAAGGATAAAAAACTTAATGTAAACTTCTTGGAGGAAAAATAACTTTGAAACTCTTGACTGACTCTGACAGAGACCTTTTCATAAAATGTGAAGTTACGGGTATAAGATCACTGGACCAAGGTTAAGGCTGGTAGCGTCACCCCCACCACTCACTTCACGACTGGCACGGCCCAGAAGGGCCGTGTGACTGAGCGAACGCTCGACTCATCTCCCCATACCTAGTAACATATGAAGTATACGTTTTTCCTAATATAATTCTGTATGAGTAGTATACATGTATATTCTTTGTAATAATTATTAATTGTTGTTTAATACTTCATGGAATAGATACAGCTCACTTATTTATTCTTCTAGAATATGACATTCATATTATTTCCAGCTCTCATTACTGTAAATAAAGCTGCTATGAATATTATGTATATACAAAACTTCATTATGGCTAGGAGTACCAAAAACCCCATATGAGGTTTTCTCAAAAGTAAGATAAAACTTCCTAACAGAAGGATGTTTATCCTTTTGAAAACTTGTTAAGTGGCAAAAGAAAGCTAGATTCTCCTTGTCTCTATGGATCCAGTTCATGAACGGTCAACATGACAAGACGTAGGGGATGGCAGAAGATTATTTTGAGGATTGTTCTGGGAAAACCAATGTTGATACTGCTAGAGGCAGAAAAACACATTTTTTAAACTAAAATTATATCACACCTGTTGAAAAGCTTTTTCTGCTTGACGTTCAGCATCAATAACTTGTCTCTCAAGCTGTTGCATCTGTAAAGAAAAACAGAAAAACACATGAAAACTCACTATTTCCCTTTTGAAAGAGATTTAGAAATCTCACAATATCATCCATTTCTTTAGGAGTATTTAAAGGAGTTCAATGGATATGAATTATGTACAATTTATCACATTAAAGGCTCTTTCAGCACATATTTAAAAACTGATAAAAAAAATACCAAAGATTTGATACTTTTAATACAATGTAGTATATAGCACATGAGTATTCACCAATACAATTTTCTTCATTAGATCATAAATTACAAATTACTGGTCAACACGTAGTAAAAACAATAAATTCATTTTAAGAGAACAGTAAAACCTCAAATGTCATACTTTTTTTGTCAATCAGAAAGTCACAGTCAGAAAGTGCTGCATTCTCATAAGCTGTATTTATACTGTATCGTCATTGGAGAAAACACAAAGGAGCATTACTGGGCTGTTCTGAGACTTGGACCAACACTGGAACAAAGAGGAGCCCTACAGTACTAAGAGTGATTAGTTTGCTTAATATTTTTAAAAAAATAACATGGATATTACAATTATATCTTTGAAAAGTACTGCAACAGCTGCAACTGGTTCTTCCTTGCACATTACACTGTACTTGATGTCGTTGAAAATTTAAAGTAGCTTCTGTTTCCTAGAGATGCATCACAAACTTACCGGGCGAAAATGTCTGGCAGCCTTCATTACATAACTATGGAAGGAGGAATTGTCTTCAGTATAGAGTCTATGAAAAGACTTAGCTTTCCTGAGAAATCTAAAAAGTGTGCAGGTCTAAGTGATCTGGAAGTTATCTGAAGACATGCAGGTGGCAGTCTGCCTGAAATATTCAGGAGTTCTCTAAGAAATACAGAGGATTCCAAAGAAAGAGCCGTATTTAACACGCAACCAATTGCTAGTTCAAGACACAACATCAAATAATGCTCAGCAAGTAGTAGAAGGCAGCTGTTCAGTTATGGCAAGTACTTTTAATGGGCTGACTCCAAAAAGATGATAGTAATAATGCATGGTATGTACCAGATAAGGGCATTTGAACATTATTTCAACACCACACTGGCTTTCTTGCCTCCAAGTGGCTCAGGAAATGAGGGCTGGGGAGTACATAGGACAGTGCTCTCCAAGAGCACTTGCAATGTGGATAGTCCAAAATGAGATATGGTGTAAGTGTAAAATACACATCAGTAATACATACATTGTTTGAAAACCTAATACAAAGTATAAAATATCTCAGTAATTTTTTATACTGAGTCATACTGAAATGATATTTTGGATTTGTTGCATTAAATAGAACATAATATAAAATTACTTTCATATGTTTCTTTGTATTATTTTGTTTATTAAAAACATACATAGATGGATGAAATAATGTGTTTGGGATTTGCTTCAATATAACATAGGAAGGGAGAGTGGGTCAGGGTACAGATGAAATAGGATTTGTCCTGAGTTAATAATCATTAAACCTGGGTACATGACGGTCCATTATAATATTCTGCTACTTGTGTACGTTTGAAAACTTCTCTAATAAAAGCTCTAAATATACATAAAATAGGTAAATAACATTAAAAGATACATAAATGATATGTAGTATGATAAATAATGTACATATATATGTGCTAATTAGGAGGCCATTAGTGACCTTCGTGAGGTCAGCCGCAGAGTGGGGAAGCAAGGACATATGCTGGAATGCCAGGCTTCGTGAGTTAAAGTAACTAGTCGGGGTTCAAGAGCCACCGAAGTTGGGCGCCATCAATTCCTTCCCCCGCCGCTGTGCACACACCACTTCTCCCACCGACAGGTGAGGCCCATTGCCCTTTGTGACTTGTCTTGACCCACGGAATGCAGTGAAAGTGATGCAGTGACATTCTGAGTCTTGCCTTTAAGACTTATTTATATTTACAATGTATTTGTATTTTTTATTTCAATGAAAACACCTCTATATGATGAATTAAGTCTGCTACTATGGCAAAGCCATGGCAGCCTGAGGAGTTTAGGGTGGAATTATTCTCCAGAGTGAAAGAACTCCAGTTGTGTTAATCATCCTACCCAAAATGTGTGTTTATCAAACCCTATCCCAACCCATCTCACACCCCCTCAGGCTTTCAAATTAGGTCGTTTTACGGTAATGTAGGAAAAACCACTAGTTCTCTCTACAGGACAAGATGGGACAACAGAAATCTTTCTGGTTGTCTAACATTTTTCTGGTTGTGTAAAATGGACTTATACAACATTTAGTAACTTCTACTATCCATCAAAGCTGAATAATTACCTAAATTTCAAGAGCTTGATTTAGTTTAAATTCTAGAAAGTGTCCAGTCCCTGCTTTTGATGCTCAGCTCTCCACTGCTATCAGCTTCCCATTCTTTCCCTCACCAAACCCCCACCACAATGCTGCCCTATACAGAGATATTTTTTTATAATTATCACCACCTCCAAAAGTTTCTTTGCCACGTCCAGTTTCTATTATTACAATATAAAGAATTTATGCTTGCCTGTTTTTTAAAAAAGAGTTAGGGATAACCACTTAACAGAAATTGTTTAGCTTCTAAAGCATCAGAGGGGTGGAGGGTTGCATGGAAGGGGATAAATAAAGAAAGTTGTAACAACATGATATATAAAAACTATACATTTATTATGATTTCAGACATAAAGAGATTATCTCATTAGTTAAGTAAATAAATAAATCTAGCTAAATATTATTTAAAAGAGCATATTTGAAAAATGTCATTAAAAGGTTGAAAGTGAAAGGATAGAAAAATATACCAAGCAAAGAGTAACTAAAAGCAATATCAAAATCAGACAAAAAAAGACCTTAACACCAAAGTTTTACTAACAATAAAGAGTGTCAATAATTATAAATGAGGCAATTCAAGAAGATATAACAATCCTGATCCCGAATACACCTAACTTCAAAGTATGTAACCCAGAAGGTTAGATTCATTTTTGATATACTTTCAAAACTCAAAATAAATTGTTATTTTATTTAGATAGTGATTTCCATGGTTAACATCCTATTAAGAAGATTTCCCTTCAAAAGACTGAATAAATCCATTTACTTCACAATTTGATTTGCTTTTTCTGTGTTTTATTTATCAAAGCCATAAATATACATAGAGTACCAATTAGTCCCATAAGATTTACTAACAAAAATAATTGCACTCTTTTAGCAAATTTTAATATTTACTTTCATGTAGTTTCTATGTTTCTTTTTATTATTTTATTTATAAGTAAGTAAACTTAAGTAAACTTTCATGTAAGCAACAGAAAATGCTTCTTTTCTGTTGACTTGTTTAGTTTAGTTATCTCTAGCTTCCTTTATGGAGAATGGGGATTCAGGTCTGTGATTGTCTCGCCATCAATGCAGGCACACTCCCATTCTCCCAACATGTTTGTGTCTTCCCTTCGGTTTATCACTATTCTGGATTAATGTTCTTGTGACTAGGTAAGACATTCATGCAGTAAACTACAGTGACTTTTTCCTTTGCTACTTAACTTTTCTCCCTAATGTTAAAGGTCTTGTTCTTTTATTTATTTAGCTTTCTATGAACTTATCAACAAATCCTCTCCAAATCCCCACCACTGTTTAAATCACCTCTGAGAATGTTCATTCACATCTGATTTTCCACCAGTTTCATCTTCTTCAAACTCCCACAGCCTCTGACCTGCACCAATATGACTGGTTCCCCTCTGTGCCTGGCACAGCTGTCTCAGTGGGGAGGCCCCTCACCTTTCTCCTACATTAGACCTCCTGTTTCTTATATCCTGTGCTTTCCCCTTTCTTGGTTTACTTCCTGTTTTTTAATGGAGCACATCCTTCTCGAGAGTCCTCAGAAAGGTTACCTGGGATCTTGCAAGTCTTAAAAATTCATCCTAATTTCTAGTCCTTTATATGGACCTGTTTATTTTCTTCTGAAAGTCTGGAGAATCTTTTCTGTGGTTTATATATTCTGAATTTTATGATGAGACCCTTGAGGGGAAACTATTTTTATGCTGTACTAGGTAGTTGGTAGCCCCTTTCAATCTGGAATGCTTGTGTATTGTTTCATCAGTTTTCTCCCCTCCGGGTCTCCTATTATTCAGATCTTGGACATACTGGACTAGTCCTCTAAATTTCTCTACTTTCCTCTCTTGTCTTCCATCTCTTTAACATTTTTCTCTGCTTCCCAGGAAATTACCTTAAGGTTATATTGCAAACTTTCTATTAAATTTGCTATTTCTTCTAGTATGTTGTTTTTAAATTTTTCGAGAGTTTTTTTTATTTATTCTCTGAATATTATTTGTTTCATGGGTGCAATATCTTTTCTCTCTGGGAATATTAAAAATGGAATTTTGCTTGTTTTGTTTCTTTTTTCCCTGTACAGGCAATATTTTTTTTTCTGATTGTTCTCTATTGTTCATATAAGAGATTTTCTTTACACGTCTGGTGATTCATGAGATGACTACTTATGTTCAACGGTAAGAGACTAAACAGCTTTAGCACATATAAGGGGCTTGTTGACCATGAACTGTGTGTAACATTAAGTAATCTGACTAGACTTTGGTTGGCAAACCACTGATGTGAGCATTATTACCTCTTTTCTCCTGGGCCAGAAAGATTCCCCAAAGACTTTCAATCTCTTCCTGTAGGATAAATGTTTGGCTACTAGCATTTTAGGAGCCATGTGGGAGAAGAAAGTTGGGGAGAGGCATAAGCTCACCATTAAATATGCATCTATTCACTTAATCCCTTCGTTTTTTGGTAGAGTAAAAGAAACCACACCCTAGAATAAGGACTAGAGGGCCCCTAGCTTCTCCTCCTGGGAACTAACTGCCCTGTAGATCCCGGTAAAGACCTAGAGGGAGGAAGAAGGTGTGGACCCCACAATAACAGGTATCAGTGGGAAATATGAGTCAACTAATTCCCTGAAACCTTCTCCCTCATCCTCATGTGCTGAATGTCCAGCAGCTGAGCATTTACTTTCTGTTAAAAGTTGAAACATTCTTCTCTTGTGAAA